CTTGGAGTCCCTCTCTAGGCAACCCCAAGAATTGTTCTAGCTCCTTTGTACCTAAATCTCAGCTTATTCTAATTCTTGATTTTTTAAATTTTATATGATTATAAAATAGGATAGGATTCAGCTCTTAGGTGCAATCTACCCAAATACACATGTTTCTTGTATATCCTCATCTATTTCCCCTGTCTGAGCTCCAGTCTGGCCAAGTCACACATCTTTACCATCCCCCTGGATATTCTCTGCCTCTCTCCTGTGGCCTCTTTATCCCCTTTTATGGTTTTCTGCTTTGTCTGGTTGGAGCATATCCTGCAGTAGCTGCCTGAGAGGTGAAAATTTTCAAGAATTCATGTATCTGAAAATATTTTCATTTTCCCTTCACACTTCACGAATGTTTGGCTGAGTGTAAAAGTCTAGATTAGGAATAATTTCCCCTCTGAATTCATTTTGTGTGTGTGTGTGTGTGTGTGTGTGTGTGTGTGTGTTGCTGGGGATTGAACCCAAGGCCTTGTGCATACGAGGAAAGCACTCAACCAACTGAGCTACATCACCAGCCCCTCCCTGCTGAATTCGAAAGGATATTTCTTTGCTGTGTTCTGGCTTCAAATTCTACTTTGAGAAAGTAAATTAGAATGTCTAAGGACATTCTAATTCCTGATCTTTTGTATGTATGGGATCTATTTCTTTTTCTCTTTGGAAGATTTTAGGATTTTTCCTATTTATCCTGATATCCTGAAATTTCATAAAAAGGCTTGGGTCTTTATGATTCAACCTTGGACCCAAAGGGAAGAGGAGAGGAATAAAGTCATCATGCACATGTCACTAGAGAACAACTTACACAGAACTGATGGAGAGGGCAGACTCCTACAGAGACCTGAAAGTCAATTTCAATAAAGTTGCAGGATAGAGTCAATATTTGGTTACTTTCAAGCATGCAGGCTTTTTATTATTATTTTTTTATCATATGTCACTGACTAGAGACATCAACAAAAGGTAGAATAGAAGTGGTAAAAATGAGCTTTGCCATTATTTAAACCAATATATATTGTTCAAGCCATTACTCAGTACCCAATGTACAGAAACAATCTAAATGTCTACTGACAGATAAATGGATAAAACAAATGTGCTATATCCACATATTGGAATATGATTCAGCCTTAAAAAAGGAGAGATCCTGCCATTTGTAACAACATGAATGAAACTCGAGGACATTGTGCTAAGTGGAGAAGGACAAATACTACATGATTCCACCTGTGTGAGGTATTTAAAATGATTTAACTCATAAAAACAAAAAGCAGAATGGTGGCTTCCAGGGTCTGGGGGTGGGGAGAGGCAATGGGAATTTGCTGTCAAATGCGTAGAAAGTTTCGGTTATGCAAGATGAATAGTGTCTAGAGATCTGTTCTACCACATTGTGCCTGTAGTTAACAATGTCACATCATGTAATGAAAGGTTTGTTACAATGATAAAAAAGACTTGATACAGTTCCTTAAATTTTTTACTTTAAAAGATCTGACACAGAAAAATATTTTAAATGTAATATGGGATAGGTAATGTATTCACTTATATAAAATATAATACAATATAAAATATATTACAACCTTTTTTTTTTATTGGTACTAGGGATTGATCCCAGGGGTGCACCACCACTGAGCTACAGTCCCAGCCCTTTTTTATTTTTATTTTACTTATTTCACAACTCACTAAGTTGCAGAGGCTGGCCTCAAATTTGTGATCCTCTTGTCTTAGCCTCCCTCATTGCTGGGATTATAATTATGCCCTGCCATGTAGGTGAAAAACTTTAATTGCATCCCTTTTCTTCCCAGGTTGTGTCCTCAATCTGCTATTTATCATTCCACTGTCTTTCTTTATTCTTTCACTGTATAAAAAGTATTTCAATACAATTTTTTTTTTTGGTACCAGGGATTGAACTCAGGGATGCTCAACCACTGAACTCCATCCCCAGCCCTTTTTATTTTTTGAGACAGGGTCTGGCTAAGTTACCCAGGCTGGTGCCAAACTTGCAATCCTCCTGCCTCAGCCTCCTGAGTCGCTGGGATTACAGGTGGCACCACCCACCTGGCTAATATATAAAACTTTTGCATGTTTTAAAGTCTCTACATCGTAACGAATTTATTTTCTAGCCATCTGTTTCTTTGCTCACCATGTTTGTGAGATTCATCTATCTTAAGTATGGACTTATTTTCACCAGTGCATAATATTCCACTCTTTACATGTATTTCTGCATCTATTCTTCTGTCAGTGGTAGACTGTTCCCAGTTTTCAGCTAAACATTCTATTCATGTTTCCTGGAGCCTATGTAGAAGAGCAGAGAAATGGCCCTCAGCTCTCCCGGAACCTTGCTGTTATTTGGTGAACTTTAAAATTCCTCATGTTAAGACTGCTTCCAAAATTAAACCAGAATTTTTTAAAGTGGATCTGGCAGGAATGCATTTAAACCTTCCCAGGTGATTCCAATGAGCAGCCAAAGGTGACAACCACCACTGGAGACCAGGGCGACTCAAGGCATGGCCTCCCACCCTGTGCATCCCCTGGAAGAGTGTTAAGGTGCACTCTCAGCTGCTCCAGCCAGTGAGGGGAATCTGGGTGTGGTGTTACAGCGCATGCTCACCTGTTAGTAGGTGTTGTCAATCAAATTCACCAAGGCTGCACGGGTCACAGTGGCAGGGAGGTGCCATGTCTCTGTGCTTGCTTTAGTTCTAGGAAATATCTTTTTAAATTTTCTGACCTATTTTCCTTTAAAAAAATGTTTTTTAGTTGTTGATAGACCTTTATTTTATTTATTTATATGCCATGCATAGACCCGAACCCAGCGCCTCACACATGCCAGGCAAATGCGCTACCATTGAGCCCCAGCCCCAGCCCCTATTTTCCCTATCTGTGGTGTGGGGGATGGAACCCAGGGCCTCTTGCATGCTAGGCAAGTTCTCTACCACTGAGCTACATGCACAGCTTCTTATTTAATTTTTAAAACTGATGCATAACATAAAATTATGCATATTTATGAGGTACCATGTAATATTTTGATTTGCATATACACTGTGTAATGTTTGAATCAGGGTGAGTATATCTCCTCAAATATTTATCATTTCTTTATGATGAAAATATTCAAAACCTTTTTTTCTAGTTCCCGCCTCCCCAGTTTTGTGGTACTAGGGATTCAACTCAGGAGCCCTGTACCACTGAGCTGCACCCCAGCTTTTATTTTTCATACTGAGACAGGGTCTTTCTAAGTTGCTGAGGCTGGCCTTGAACTTTCGATCCTTCTGCCTCAGTCTTCCAAGTTGCTGAGATGACAGGCGTGTGCCACCATGCCTGGCTTCTTCTACTTTTTAAGAATCCATAGCATGTTATGGTTACCTATAGTCACCCTACTGGGCAATAGAACTCCAGAACTTCTTGCTCCTAACTGTAAGTTACTACCCATCTAGAAAACATTCAATAATTTTCTCACTTTGAAGTTCCTATTAGTTGGAAGTGGAAACTTCTGTGTTGATCATTCTTTTCGGTTGTACATTTCTTGACTTTTTTTTTCTCAATGCCAAGATATTTTATAATTTGCTGAGGCAGGAGGATTGCAAATTGTTGGTCTCAGCTGGGTGTACTGGTGCACGCCTTTAATCCCAGACACTCAGGAGTGCAAATTTGAGGCCAGCCTCAGCAACTTAGTGAGAACCTGTTTCAAAACGAAATAAAAAGTTTGGGGAAGTAGCTCCATGGTATAGCACCCCCTGGGTTCAGTCCACAGTATCCATCCTCCAAAATGCGATTTTACTTTTAATTTTCAAAAGCACTAACACTTCCTTTAAAAAAAAAAATCTTTTTGTTTCACAGGTGCAATAGCTTCAGAGGACTCTCCGGACTCCCATCTCCTGTGGATTGGAAGCTCTGCTTTCAGTTATAGGACTCAGTCGACTCCTGGGTGCCCTTGGCTGCTCACACTGTGAGTGAAACATGACAGCCCCCCGCCCCCATATCTGTCCACATGGGCAGGGTATGTGAACAAGGAGCCTCCCAGTGGTGACTGGGTAGAGACCCATTGTTAGACTGGAGGGACCCCCCTCCCCCCACCGCCAGTGTCAAATCTGTCCCTGTGTCCTCTTTGATCAGTTTCCCAGAGAGAAATTCAGTATGCACTGCCCCTTGGGGGTAGGTGGGGCGGGGGGACTAGGTTTTGAGAGTGAAGGTTTGTTTCCCATTGACCATTCGCCATCCCAGGACAGCACCTCCCTGCAGCCTTTGGCTGGCCTGGGCTCCTTAATCCAGAATCTTTCTAGTTCAACTTCAGCCATCAGTAAACTTGTCCTCTGCCAGGGTTAGGGAAGAGTGGTCACTAGGCAGGTGGGCCACTTTAATTAATTAATTAATTAATTAATTTTTTGGCGCTGCTGGGGATGGAACCCAGGGCCTCCCACGGGCACCCCCCGCCCGTTTAACTGCTTCCTTCTACCGGTACCATTTTCACACCCATCCCGATCATCCACCCTAGGGACACCCAGTCCCTCCAAGTTCTGAGCATCTGGGGGATTCTGCAGAGCAAGAGGGCTTGTTCCTTAGGGCTTCCTCCCTTAGGTGTTTTGGAGCAGGAGAGCTGACACGAGACATCATGCTGTCCTGTTGCCCAGAGGTCTCCAGCACCCCCTGCCCTCCTGTCTCCTGTGCTTTTCTGTGGTTTGTGCCATTTTCATTGCTTGATGTCATTTCAGTGGGCTTCTGGAGGACAGAAGTTTTTGTCCACTTAAAAAATTTTTATTACAGATGAACATATAAATCTGATATAAATCTGTATAACTTTTTTTTTTTTTTTTACATAGATGACTTTTTTCCTCCCCATTCAACATTATTAGCTTCGTGAACTCTTGTTCCACACCTCGATCTGGCTCATTTCTTTTAAATCAATGTTACCACACCCCCCACCCCCCATCCATTTCTCTTCTAATGCATCTTAGAAGCACAAACCTTGTGGTCTCTGGATCAACACTGGCTTAATGCAAATTCTAATCTTTATTGTTTTAATTCTGAAGCGTAACAGGTCACAGGGGAACATGAGTTTTACCGTCTGCCAGCAGCAAGGGCAAAGAGCTAATAGGCAGGGGGCATAAGGGTTCTTGGCCCGCAGACAAGGAGGCCCCTGGAGAACCCGGTGTCCGGGGAAGGAGGGCAGGGTGTGGACACTCACGCACACAAACACACAGGGTTTTCAAAAAGCATTTGCCTGCATTTTGTGTATTTTTCATGCCAAACCAAACCTACTGAAGAGAAGTGAATTGTGTCTTCGGGGAGTCTCCTGCCCGGGCTGAGAGCAACCTGGGAAGGTCAATGGGGGGTTCAGAGAAACCTAACAAGGAGCCAGATTTCAAGCCAGCTCTTGGGCCAGCCCCAGGGAAAGACAGGACACTGTTTTTGCCTCCCTGGGAGCCGAAGCTGGGGGAAGGGGTAGACAGATCTCTCATCCCACCTGCTCTGGGCTCGGGTCTTTGCACCTTGAGGGGCCAAACTCAGTTTGAGGGGGAACGCTCAGGGTTGTATTTCTTCTTGCTATAAATATAAATATGGAGAAAGGCCCATGTAGCTTCCTGCTGAAACTTCAGTGCATACGGGAAGGCCCCTCAAGGAGGCTCTGAAGGCCCTTCCAGCCCAACCCAAGACCCAAGCAGACTTAAAGATGGGTCAGACAGGGGGTGGGGACAGAGGTAGGGGGACAATAAATAAAAGTCAGTGACGGAGCAGGCTGGTGGGAGGGGAGTGGTAGAGGAGGAGGGCGCCTTGGCAGTGGAGGGGTGCAGAAAGGCACTGGGTGGGGGTAAGCAGACTCGGCCCCCAAACACTGGTTAGTTGAGTCAGAGGTCATGGCACTGGGGTGGCTGGTGAGAGCTCAGGGACTGGCCAGGAAGGAGCTGGGGAGGCCTGGCTCCTGCTTCCTTCCTCTCTCTCAAGATCTTCCACTGGAAAGTCTGCTCCATGCATCCGAGTCCCAGAAGCCACATCAGCAGCGGGGACTCGCCCGGGGGTGTCTTTTGCCTTTGGAGGAAAGAGAAAAAGACCAGTGCATAGTGAGCAGACATGGATTCCCTCCTCAGGGACAGCTCGACCTCTGGGAACGAAATAGAGGTGAAGGCAGCCTCCTTACTGGAACTGTCCCTGCCCCTGAGGCTGCTGCCCAGTGACCTCAGGATGTCAGAAGGAGCCACGGACATGGGAATAGAAATTCTCTTCTAAGCCAGTGCTTTCCACATTGTTCTGAAGCCCTGAACCCTCTCCATGCCCTGGCTATGTCTGGACATTTCCTGAGGACCTACTCAGGGCCGGCAGTCCCCAGGGACCCTGGATCTCACCTTCCCCACAACCCCATGAGGGATACTTCAGTGATAACGGGATTGTGGAGAGAGTCTGCTGGTGACTGACTGTTTTTGACCTACAAAACCACAGTTTCATATGGTTCAACCTGATGGTTTGCCCAAATTCACATGGTCATGGGTGGTGGGTTGGGCCTAGAGCTTGGGCCTGCTTCATTCCAAACTGACCTCTGTGGGGGACTTCAGGAGGCTAGAGGGAGGGGACAGGGTCCATTCCAGGAATATAGATGCCTCCATTGCCTGGAGAGCTGCTCACCACTGCCCCCCTCCCAAATGCCCTGGGAAGGCTTCAGAAGAGGGAGGAGGGAGGGACAAAGGGAGGGTCCTGGTGGGTGGCTGCTGGGGTGCACTCAGGCTTCTGGAAGGAGCTGCTGCCCTGGGCACATGTGCCTGTGGGTCTCTGACCAGGGAGGTGCCCAGTTCAGTTAGGGCTTCTTCTTAAGGGAGCTGGGCCACCTGCAGGTGCAGTTTCTCATGAGAACCCCCCTGACTACATGAGGATTCTGGGTAAGGCCAGGGCCAGGGGGTTGGGCTCCTTGGATAATTGCCTTTACCCCCGTGCCCTGTTTCCACTCCTATCAAATGGGGACAGTAGGGCTCCCAACTACTCTGTCAACAGAATGGAAGTTGACCTTGGAGGAGCTAGGGCAGGCTGGGCTCTGGGTCCCTGGCTCCAGCACCCCAGGATCTCGGTCCTAGGATCTGGGCAGCTCTGGCTAGCCTGGGAGGCCGATTCAGCTTCCTCCCTCATGGGACAGGTTTCTGGAGAGCAAGGACTGACCAAAGCCCCCAGTCCCAGGCCAGGCTGGCACATGACGGGGGCTTGGTGAGAACTGGATGCCTGGCACAGAGTAGGCACAAGGTGGGGTTCCTATTCATGTCCAGAGATAGGGAAAGGCTTGGACAGATTATGCATTTTGTGAAGTAGAGGTTGGTAACAAGCATTGCTAAATTTATTGATGGGGTGGTTGCTATTATTTTTGGTTCCTCTCTCTGGTCAGGGGAGTGGAGGGGGGGATCTGGCTTTTTGCCCCAGTGCCTGGTACTGCGCTTGGTAAACATCAAGAACTAAAAAACTGTCCCTCTGCAGTTTTGGAGGAGGGAATGAAGAGGGGACAGAAGAGGGGGAAGGTGGTGGTTAAGTGGGAAGGTGCAGCGGGTACTCACCGGGGCCCTTGGGCTCAGGCCAGGGCGGGGCCCCCCCCTGTGGGTCTGCAGAGCCCTCCCCAGTCTCACTGGTCAGGCTGCTCTGACTTCCTGAGAGGAGGCTGGGCGGGTGGGTCAGCCCCATCCTAGGGGATTCCATGCTGCCACCTGCAAGGACCACAAGCTGTTTCTCACAGCAACAAGCCACTGACAGGAAAGTTCACAATTATTAGTTTTTCCCGCCTTCCTAGGATGAGGGTGTGTGGTGGGGAGAAGGGTGTGTATTTTGGCTAACCCAGGAGGGAGAGGGAGAGGGAGTCTGCTGTCTTTAGTCACCAAAGAATCCTCCAATATGGTTGTTAGTTCTTGCCCAGCTGAGAGCAGAAATGGAGCCTGTAACATTTCACCCAATCCTTTCCTGTCTCCTAGTCCTAGCTGGGAGTGGGTGTGAAGGGAGAGGATGAGAGTCCTCACGGTAGGAGGAAGGAGGAGTGTGGAAACCAAGGTGGCACAGGTATTTCCTTTACACTTTTTTTTTTTTTTTTGTCCTGGGGATTGAACCCAGGGTGCTTAACCACTGAGCCACATCCCCAGTCCCTTTTGTCTTTTTTTTTTTTTTTTTTAAATTTAGAGACAGATTCTCACCCAAGTCATTTAGGGCCATGCTAAGTTGCTGAGGCTGGCTTTGAACTCACGATCCTCCTGCTCAGCCTCCCAAGCCACTGGGATGACAAGTGAGCACCACAGTGCCTGACTCCTTTACAATTTTTCTAATAAAGAATTTTGGGGCCAAAGGGGCTGAATCTAGGGGCAGTTTTTAATCTTTTGCAATCATCTCTGCCAATTGATACTGACCACTTGGAAAACTGTACTGAGCACTCTAAGTCCCTAGCCGGGCTCAGAGAATCATGATCAATGAGTACTGTGCCATGGACACAGGACTGAGAGTGGTCAAAAGAGTACCAGGCATTTGCCATCTCTGATCTAGCCAAAACTTGCATAGAGGACAGATCTTCTAGTCTTAGCTTCAGGACGGCACCCCAAGGCATTTCATTCCAATTTGGGGCAGTTACTATACAGCTAGCACATGCACTTTCTCTCTCTCTCTTAAATTGTATATTAAACTCAGCCTTCCTTCTTTCAAATATCCTACTTCTCAGGCTGGGGTTGTGGCTCAGTGGTTGGGTGTTTGCCTTGCATGTGTGAGGCACTGGGTTTGATCCTCAGCACCATGTAAAAATAAATAAATAAAAAATATTGTATCAATCTACAACTGAAACAAAACAAAACAAAACAAACAAACAAAAAAAAAACCAAAAAACCAGATCCTACTTCTCACCTGGGAATATGTCTGAATGGAGTGTCTCCTTTTTCAGGAAGGTCCTGTTTCAAGGGAAGGGGGAGGCCTTTCCTTACCTTTCTAGGGCATGCTCTGCTGGAGTTAACCCTCTGTTACATGACAGAGTCACAGAGGTGAACTCAGCCATGTCAAAATCAGAGGAAGCTTTGGAAACCACCTTCTCTGTCTCCCTTGTGCTAAAGAGAAGGAAGTGTCACCTTGAGGCAGTGGCATTTATTGGGAACCCCACTGTGAGCATGGGAGGAATCCCAGGGTCAAGGTGGAGGGCGTGGCCTGGCTGGCCCTGCCTCTTGTCCCAAGCCCCAGCAAATACAGATGAGCCTGGCTCCATGCCCTGCTCTTCAGTGCTGCTGAGATTTAGCTTCTAGTGGGCCCAGCCCCAGGTCCTCCTCCACCCCCATCTAGAACAACCAGATGCCAGCCTCGAAGCTGCCATCTAAGGAAGTGACAAAGCCACTTGGCACCTGGGGCTTTGGAAACAGTGTTATAACCCACACTTACCTGATTCCCCCACGAGCTTGTCACCTTTGGTGTTCCTGACCCCAGTGGGTGGGAGTCTGTCTTCCAGGCTGGAAGAGCTGAGCTCGGAGTCACTGTCACTGTCGCTGGAAACCACTGGAAAAGACAGACATGGGCAGAGGGGGTCAACCCTGTGGGCCACTGCTTGGATAGAGGGGACCAGAAAGGTTCCCTCCTGCCATGACAGTGCGGTGTAGAACCTGGGTTACTCCTTCCTGCTAAGGAGGTAAGACCTGGTGTGAGGAGCTGGGATGTGGACCAAACTCATCCAGAACCAGCAAGGAGGGCTCGTCTGTTGCCCAACTATCTCCACATGTGACAGAACTGGAACCCGCCTGCCTGGTAGAAGCTGATTATCCCCTTTGGTGCAAAGATCTAAAGGCAAGAGGTGACACTCTGCAGGGATGAGAATCAGGTCGCAGCTGACCTTCACACAGCTTCCCAGGACTTTGCACATGAATTCATGGCAGCTTCAAAACAACCCTATGAGATAGGAGATCTCATCGTCCCATCTTACAGATGAGGAAACCGAGGCATGTGCCCCAGGTAGTAAGTGGAGGAGCTGGGATCCTAGCCTGGGCAGGCCGGCTCCAGGCCTGTGCCGTGACCACTCTGGTTCCACTGGAAGAGCAAAATCAGGAGCCAGAGGGCCCGGCTTCTCATTGCAGTCTCTCCCCGTCCAGCTCCCAGTGGGCCTTGTGCATGCAGAAGGAGCCGCTGGGTGGGGGTGGAGTCCCAGGAGGGCGAGGGAGGGAGCGCTCCCGGTGAACAGTCTCTTCTGCACTCCGTGAGACCATATTTGGCTGGTTCATCAACAGTGGGCGTCATAATACAGAATATATTCATCCTTTAAACACTCTATTTTAATTTTAAACATAGAAATGTACATCCATTTGCCAATCTTTGGCGGCAGGCCTTGGCGCTTCTCTGAGGCTGGGCCCACACGGCCCTTCCCTGTACAAACCACATCCGTGCGGCCTTGTGTAAGTCTCCAGCTTCGGTTTCTTAAAAGCAGAGCAAGAACTCAAAGACACCGACTGGGAAAGCAATCTGACTGCAGAGTCTTCTCTATTTTCCCCTTTCTTCCTCTTGTTTCTCACAGTTGTCTGCCCACACCTAATTCAATAGATATTTTTTCTTTTTTTCCCAAAGCAAGTTGCTTCCTTCAAGACTTTACAAGATCTTGGTTTTAATGAAACAGCTCTGATCTCTTTTCATCAATTTACATAACGTTTAATTAAGTGATATAAGGATAATAAGTACAAATGACAGAAACCAGCTCTCCCAGGTGACAGGACTCAGCGGATGGGGTGGGATTTCCAAGGTGTGTGTCTGTCTGATTTACTTTGAAATGCAAAGTGCTGGTCACAGAGGGAGGATAGGAGGAGAGGCACTGGGCTAGGGGCTTAGCAGGCAGATGTTACGCAGTCTTCTCCCAGCCCTGAGCTGTAGGTACACACTGGTAGGAGATAAGATTAGAAACAGAATTGATCTGTACCAACGGAAGCTAATAGTTTGATCTGCTGAGCCCTGTCTGGAGCAGCCTGTGGAGAATTCTGAGACTGCATTAGAGTTCAGCAGGAGAAAACGCCTGGTCATTTAGGGAAATCGGCTGCGAGTACAGGAGGGGGAGATGGCAGCTTCCACGTGGATCTAGAGCCTTCTGGAAAGTCTGCGTGACTTTAGCCTCTGTCATCTTTCAGCTAAGGGAGTCACAGGTCACAGATGCAAGCAGCCAGAAGGTCAGGGCTGGGCTGACCATTTTGGCTGTAAGAGATTCTAAGTCCTGGTCTTCCAAACCAGAGTGGCCGGCATACAGTAGGTGCTTCATGGAGGGAGTATGACAAGGTGGTGCTTGCGTCTGTCATCCTCATGTCCTGCCAATTGCACCATGAAAATGGATCTTGGATCAGTTGCCTCCTTACCATCAAGGTCTTAGCTCCTCCAGCTGGGACACCAGTGACAAGGTCCCAGCAGATCTCCCTCTGCACTGGGGACATGCCAGCTTCCCCCTCTTTAAAGGCCAAGCTCCTGTCCACCAATGAGGCCACATGGATCTCCTTTCTGTGGCTGGCCCGTAGAGTAGGGTGAGCCAGGACCATGAGACTGTTCCCAATTTTTCCTTCTTCTGTCGGCTCAAGGATCCTGCCCTTTTCTTCTCTGGTTTTCCCCCCACCCCTGCCTGCCAGGGAGACTTCTTTGGTTTCTTAAGTCTTTTGTGATTTAGAACCAAGAGGGTCCACCCGCCCCTTCCTAGTACCTGAGCAACCTGACAGAACTCGGTTGCTTTTCTGGTCCTGGATTGAGCAGCCTTGAGCATGAATCCGCCGAGACTGGACCTCCTGGGCGTCAGAAGCATTTGCGTAGTTTTGACTCATCTCCTGACTAAACGCCAGTCCTGTGGGTCCCTGGACAAAGCAGGTGGGAGGAGGTGGGCAGGAGGCAGAGATGCCAAGAGCAGGGGAGATGGAGCAGCCAGGCCACTGTGGAGCTCCGTGGTGGGACAGTCCCTGCAGAGACCAGGTGACCAAGTTCTGCGCTGGTTTCCCCCCTCTCTGGCAGAGACTCTTAAATGCGATCCATTTGTGCCTCCTGACTTGGATTGTTCTGTCTTCCCCATGGCTGATCTGCAGATCATCTCTGCACTTAGGTGTCAGAGTGGGCTTGGGGCTCTCTGGTGTCAATAATGCCTGATCCTTTGGTGCCAAAGGGCTCAGCGGGAGATGATGGGATGGGATATCCCAGGGCTCAAGTTGTGGTGGGCACGCTCATTCATTCCTTGCCACCATGCCCCTGGCTCATTCTGTCATCTGTTGTATGTGGTCACAGGCTCAAACTGTTCCATGCCACATTGGGAGAACAGCATTTATTGTGAGCTGTATGTCTTGTCCAAAAAGGCACCCCTGGAGGTGGGATGAAGGGGCCACATTGCCATGTCCCCTTGGGGTACCTGTGCTGCACAAGGGTTAAAAAAACAAATTCCCCAAGTTATTGTCAGTTGGCTTATTCTTGAACTCCCAGAGGTCCCTAGCCATGGGAAGGTGGGGAACGACGTCAGAGGCCAACTGAGCTCACCATGGTGTCACACAGCAGACTCATTTCTTTCTGATGCACCATCTCTTGGCTCAGGCAGCTTTGCTCATTGTATGTGGGATTTCAAGCGGGGGCCAGGTCTCAGCTTAGAGGTCTTTATGTTCAGACCTAAATCCCATCTCTAATCCACTCTCATAAACCCCACTAGAAAGAAACAAACCTGAAGCGTCAGCTGGCGCACTTACTGTCACTGGGGAAAGGGAAGGTGCTGCTGAGGGGATCTGGTCCCACAAGCCCTTTACCCAAATAGCCCCCACTTCCTTCAGCAGCCAAGGAAGCTGTCCTTTCTTTTCCTGTCCCCAAGATGCCCCAAACCTTGGCTAATTTGCCATTCGATCGCCACTGCTACCTCTCCTCCTGCACAGCAGCTGCGATCGTAAATCTTCCAGGTCTATTAACAAAGCTTTTAGGCTCATAAATCTTTTGGCCCTTGCTCTTCCATCCTCCACGACACACTCCAAGGGTCTGAGGGCTGAGTTTTCTTCTTTCTTTTAATTCTCCAAAGGCTGTGTCCAGGATGGCTCAGGGATGAGAGCTGGGATTCTGCCCACGCCTGATTTTTCAGATCGAGGATGGGAAAGCCCACGGGAGAAGGTGGGCTGGTCGCCTTAGGGAGGACAAGGGGCATCGCGTGGATCCAGGGAGAGGCAAGGAGGCAGGGAGCGGGGAGGACTCTCCTGTGTCCTCCTCCACAGGGTCCTGAGCTCCTTCATCACTTGCCATGGAACCTGGCATCCCCGAATTTCCCCCATCACGCCCAGGAGGGTGGCCCTGCTCAGCCTCAGCAGCGGACAGACAGCCCAGCGCCAGCTGTGTCCACGTCTTTAGGGATGGGCCAGCATCCCCCCATCCCCAGCTCATTCTTGGATGGATTTGCAATTTGTCTATCACCATGGAAACTCAGAGTTTTGGTACATGAAGTGGGGGGAAGACTCTTCTTTTTTGGAAAGTCTCTCTTGACAACCTCAAAGGATACATGCGGCAGCTGCTGTCCTGTGGAGATACCTTGTCTGGGATAGGCCAGAAGACAGGTGGATGGGGCTATGTGGCCTCACATTATTGCATTGGGACCTTGGGGGCCTTCCTCCAGGCTCTGCTTGGCCATTATTCTCTCCGTGACCCCAGACATCTCTCTAGGTTTCATGGCCCAAACCAAGAGCCACTAGGAGTCTGAATCCTGGGACTCAGTTTGGGGTCAGTCTAGCAGTGGAGAGACCCCTGATGCCCCCACCCTGGCTGAGAGGCAGGGAATGCCCTTCTGTGCCACCCAACATCCGTCTGCCTGGCACAAGGACAGCAGGCAGCCTGTGAGCCCGGGAAGCACTTGTGAGCCATGGCTGCTCTGCTTGGAGGCTCCCAAAGCCCCCAGAAATTATGGGAATTAGAGAGGAAGGGAGATATTTTCAGCAAACATTCTGCCAAGGCAAAGCAGATGGTGGAAAATTTTGCATACTAAAAACACAAGGAAAAAAAAATTTTAAATGTAAAGGAACGATGATAAGGCCCTGGGGAGCGCAGAGACATTTCCAAGCCATTCTCCTGAGCCCACCAGGCTGGCGCGGCTGCAGATGTCGAGCTTGTCCCTGCTGGGACAGAGGACAGCTGCCTCCCTTGTACACAGGGCTGGGTCTGTGGCCTGAAATTTCACCGAGATGCCTCCCATATCCAGGGCTCTGTTTTGGTGGCAGCAGGATGGGGCTGTGGGGTGGTGAAGAGGTACTGACTTGGAGTCAGACACTTGGGTCTGTGTCCTATCTCTGCCATTTCCCAGCTGTGTGATGTTGGGCCAGTTTCTTTACCTCTCTGTGTGCTTAGTGGGCTCAACAATGAAATGGGGGGTGAGGACTCCCTCCCTGGATGTCTGAACATTAAGAGGTAACACTGGCTGTGTCTGGCACATGGCAGGTGCTTCATAGATGGGAGCTATTTTTTTTTTTTTGGTGTGTGTGTGTAGTATGTTGAACTCATAGGTCCATATGTCTTGGTGCAGGGCTGACCTTGGG